AGTGTAAATGTCCGTGAAAATGTCAGAACAGAAGAACCTCGTTATAATGCACGTCTCTTAATGCATTCCAGCCAATAAAGAGATCCCCCCCCCCCCCACACACACACACACACTGTCTGACTATGCTCCACTTCATACATAACTGATACATAAGAGAAAGCATTTCCATGGCAACCAGGGAAATGCTTGGAGTCTGTGAGTAGCAGACCCATTTATTTGTTTGTGTTACATTAACAAATCTCTAAAGCCCCCCATCAGTGTGTGTGTGTGTGTGTGTGTGTGTGTGTGTGTGTGTGTGTGTGTGTGTGTGTGTGTGTGTGTGTGTGTGTGTGTGTGTGTGTGTGTGTGTGTGTGTGTGTGTGTGCGCGTGCGCTTCATGTGCAGCATCTGTCGATTTACTGCTGGTCTTGTGTTTCAAATATTAGAGGTAATCGGATCCCTCTGCTCCTCTCGGTTGGATCTGGACTCAGCCGGCCTGTGTGGTGGGGCCATCAAAGTGACCCAAAGGTCGCTGGTGTGAATCCCTGAGACGATGGAAACCGGAGTAAAAGTTTAGCCTTTGAGCAACAGAAAACCAAAGTTGACTCCACCTAAATAAATACTTCTAAAATTGGATTAAAAGTGTATAGTTCTCATGGGTCTGCAAGTATGAAGTTATGAGGAACTAGCTTAGCAACTGCTGGACAAGGCTTTTTTTTCAATTATTTTTTTTAGGAAACATCGGACCAGTTGCAACGTAATGTTTTCAGCGGCGTTAATGTCGTGGTTAATTTATTCCCAACAACGTCTGGGGATCATCACCTCCGATGCTGCAGCCGTTTGTCTCACAAGAACTCAAACAAATGCCCCGTTAGAAATCAAAACACATTTGGGGGGAATTTATGACAGAGAGAGTCGTTTTTAATTCTTAAATATTGATGACTAAAGGAAAGATTGTGCTCCAGCAGAAGGGGCACTTTTCTCATCCAGGGCAAAAGGGCAAGATGGAGGTTTGTGAAAGCAGCGCGGGAGAAGCTTCTTCGATTGTCTTCTTCCGCCGCTCAGCCTTGAAGTGTTGTTGAACGTTACAGTTTAGGCCTGAAACTTCTTCGCTCTGTGGTCGGACGATGCGCTCACACCGAATGAGACGCAAATGTTTGGCACCGCAGGATTAGATGCAAAGTCTATGCAAAGACGCGATGAGACTGGAGCGGAGCAGATCTGCCACAGCAACATCCCGCCACTGCACTGGATATAGAACATTATGGTGCAGGATAATTGGATAAACGACACACCGATACCCAACGTTAAGTCAGATTTCAGGGAGTTTGATGTGCTTGAGCATTACACGGTGTCTTGACAGAAGGCGGAATGCCCACCGTCCAGTCCAGTGTCAAGTGGAAGTTCTGCGATTGCTCCTCGTGATATCTGATATGCTATTAACTCCGTTCTTACATCGTGTCCAAGCATCTATTTCGGGGCCTGTGTTTGTGGGCGCGGTCCGGGGCAGAAGAGCAGGAAGCGGCAGTGTGAAGTATGGAGACCTCATTAGGGATCATGTAGCGTTATGGTCAGCTCAACGTGTCAAATTCTTGAATAGTTTTGTTGATCACAAAACACCTGAAAAAGAAATGGTATCCTCTCATCGTGGTAAATGCTAATTTGCCAATGTCCCCAAAAGTGTGTGGGCAAATTCACTTAACAAGGAACATGAATATCTAGTGAGCGTGTTGACATGGTCACCGTTGGGATGTTTGCATCATATTGGATCAGCAGCTTCAGGAGCAGTGATTGACAGCTGCTCCTCGGCTCCGATTGGTTGTTTTTCTTTGGATGTGTGTGAATCTAGCGTCTGTCATTAGGACTTAAAAGGAGGAAGAAGAACCTGATTCGTTCCCGTGTTATCGGCCTGGTGTGCTACTTTCAGGGTATGCTAACAGTGTGAGCAAACCAGGACCAACAGTATTATTATAATGTTATTAAAGCTGTAGCTGAAAGTTCTAGATTTGACTTGTTACATTTAACCCTTCATGTAGGCGGACGATCGGTGCAGCAGAACCTACTTGTGTTTCCGTCCTGTCGTCCCTCTGCTGTGTGTATGCAGCACCTTGTCGACATACCTCGGCATCGGAGACACCGAAACAGATTCCTGTTGGTTTGTTGTTGCTACATGAATTAATTGCCTTTGCTATCGCAGCGCCCTTCTGGTCCTTCTGGTCCTTCCACCCCTCCCTTCCCCCGGCAGAGCATCTGTGATCTGTGCCGAGCGGCCTCCTGGAACGGGACGGCTACAGGTGGCGGTCCGGGTGTTTGGGCCGTTGCTCTTGGGCTGCAGCGAGGGGACAGAACGGGGAGGAGCTTGCCTCAATGCGTGAACTCATTGTTTTAATCAGTTTTATAGTTTGGTGGATGTTGTCTTTTTGAACTCAATTAGACCTATTTGATTTTTGTTTTCCCTCTTGGGTGATCATCTGATGTATCAAAGGCAAAATGTACCAGAATTACATTAACATATTTCAGAGCCAGATGTCTTTGAGACACATTCCAGATGTTGAAAAGATAAACCAACTCTTGTGTCTGTGGAGTGACTCTATGGATGTCTGTAATAAGCTTTGCCAGGAACGCTGCTTCGCCACATCGAAGAAATTCAAAGCATTCAGTCACTTTAATTATTCATTAATTATTCAATTTATTGGTCTATTAGCAAACAGTGTCAGCATTGGTTACTTGTTTGGCATGTAATCACTTTTAATGTACAATATGAAAAATGCACCCATAGCTTTCCCTTAGAGTTGATGAATATATTTTGAATTTCAATGTTAAAATTAGCGTTGTAGGAGAAGAAATGAGCTAATGATCATTAATAATTATCATGGCGTCGCTTTGAGGTTATTGTTAGTCAGCAGATGATGTCAGTGCATAACCATCATAACCCATTCATACGTGTATCTGTGGCGGATGATGGAGAGACATTAGTTATTTAGCACAGGTTTTTCTTCTGGATTAAAAAATAGCCGACCACCATTTGTTCCAAGAAAATGTGCGCAAAGTCTCTTTAATATCCTCTAGATATGTGTAATTAAGTGTCAAAGGTTCATACTTCAGTCTCTCCTTCAAGGCATTTGTAAGAAGACTTTAAAGACTTTAAAAAACTTTTTTGGATGCAAACCCCACCACAACCCCCAAGTGCTTTATTTGAGGTACACGGCTGCTTCTAAAATTGGACACATCCTTTCAAAAGCCCTTCTTCAACAAAGGCTTTTTGATGTTATGAAACCCTGGAAACCAAATGATTTTTTATGAGGTCAAACACTCAGGACTTTGGGTCACGTACCAAAGAGAAATGGGTCAGATCCTCTTACAAATGAAGTAGTGTTCCACTGGAGATGTGATGTAAGTACTGCTCCTTTTGGGCAGATGCCGGGGCACTCACACGGCACTTGACAAATCCGTTGTGGGGGGATAAAAATGTCACTTCTAGGCAGAGCAGTGTGGCAGATATCACTGCCCCCCCCCCCACCCCTCCACCCCACGCAAACCAACATCCAGCCACCTAGCATAACTGAAATAGATGGTGCTGTGGGCTTTGGAACCGACGGGGTAGAACACAGAGAATGCGGCGTATTGTCCGTGCCGGAGCAGAAGACAATGCCGGCCTTCATTGCCTTGTGTCCATTGTGCTTGAGGTTTCTTGGGCTTGGCTGAAGAAGAGAAAGGTCTTCATTCAGTCAGCCGGTGGGGGGGGGGCTTCAAACCTGCCACTGTCATGGCGTCTCCTCTCTGCACCCCGATGTTGCGTTGCCCTCGGATCTGATTGATGCGGCGTTGTGTCAGTCAGCCGGCTCCTTTAGTTCCTCACCTCTCCGTCAGGTTTTTTTTTTTTTTTTTTGGCCTTTAGGTCTCAAAATAGGAGAAACGGAGAAGAGTGGAATTGCAACATCTCCCCACATCCCTTCCTCTGTGGCACAACAAACGACACCCAACGCCGTGTAGCTGTGCCCCAGAATAATTTAGGGGTGATGTCATTCCGCCGTTAAAAAGGGGCCGCGCTGAGTTGGGCTTCTTCTCTTCTTCTCCTGAATGCTCCAGTCAAAGGAACCAGAGAAAGCCTCAAAGGGGGAAAAAAAGAATCTTTTCCACGTTTTTGAGGAAGTGTCTCAAAAAGTCGTGACAGGCTTGTTAAAGCAGCCTCTCCCCCCCCCGCTCTCCCGCCAGCATCCAGCTTCAGTGTCTATTCAGAGGCCCGTCTGCTGCACCTCAAAGCGACAAAGTGATGGAAACGCAGGATTCAGCTCGGCCCGCACACATTAAGGTTTCTAACAAGCGCGTGAATTATGAAAAGATCGTGTGGACAATTCTCCTGCCGCTGCTCCAGTTACCAGTTTAGGTTTTTGATGAGAAAAGAAGTCAAACAAATAGTGTCCTTTCAACCAGGAGACCGTGTGAAAAAATATGTACATTTTGACAGTTATTTTAACCTGAACTGAATTGAATCCTGCAAAGTTTATTTTGAAAAGACCATACGTGTGTAACTTGGGGGAATGGAAACGGATGGCTGGGTATTGTAGAAAACACAATGAGATGAAGAGTCACCTTTACTGAGATCTCACACAATAAAGGCTGTGTGAGGTGAAGGTAAAGGAGATGTGAGATTTGTTGTTCAAGCTTCTCTCACTGACCTGCTAAGTCACCAACACACACACACACACACACACCAAAAATTGGGTATTTACAGATGTTTTTCTGAGGAGACACAAACCTCAAGGACGCACAAAACACTTTGGAAGGTTGACTTCTGTTTGTTTAGAAAACGTTCTCTCTCACTGAAATACTCTGTTATCTGCTCTCATTCGGCTCTGGAAGAACGCCGACCTCGGCGCGGGAGCGTCCGATGAATACGTGCCGTATGGGACGGATTAGCACCTCGAACCTGTTTGACCGACGACGTGCTGTGTGCTGCGTAGTTGCGAGCGCTTTGTGAATCTGTGTGTGTGTGTGTGTGTGTGTGTGTGTCCCTGCAGGTTGTGTAGTCTGACTCTGAAGAAGCTGGTCGTGGTGAGAGAACTTGATAAAGAGCTGATCTCTGCGGCCATAGCGGTTAAAATCCAGGTATATGACACACACACACACACACACACACACACACACACACACACAGGTGTGCACAAACCAACAGAAGATCTCATGACTCCTCTGACCTTTTAAATCTCAGTCTCAACTATAGTGCAGAAAAAAAGGCAATACTAGATTATATTTTGTTGTTGTTATTTTAAATCCACACTTTGTTGCATGTAACTTATTTGCATATATTGAACACCAAAGACAGTAACATATTTTAATATGGTCTCATGCCACCGTAGCCCGACTTTGATGATCATCAAACCCGTTGATGACCAGATAATAGGACAAATGCAGGAAATATGTACTGTGACATAGTTTGCTCAGCAATAGTTTAACGTCACCGTGAAGCACATTGCATAACATTTGACACATGTTTTCATTCATGCAAATGCAGCACATGCAGCTTTCTGCACATGCAGCTTTCAGTGTTTCTTCGCAAAGGATGCAGCTGGCTAAAATTTACAACAACAACAAAAAAAATCCCTTAACCCGACATTGAAAGGATTCAGGGAAAAAAATAAAAACAAAACCGAAGCGTCATAGGGAAAACACCATTTTATTCAACGTTTTTATTGTTCTACTCACAAAGGGATTAAGTGAAAAATGTCATTTTTAAAATTCGTATTAAAAATGTTGCATGCATGTCTGCTTATGTCACACATGACAAGATGAATACAATTACTCCAGAATTTCCAGTTTATTCTCGTATATTCCTGTTAATTCCAGTGGAAACTTTAGAATATTCTCTGAATTTTGCAACCCGCTGCATTAAACCCCTTGCATGTGTTGTACAGGGCTCCAAACGGATCTTGCGCTCCCACGAGATCGTGCTGCCACCCAGTGGCTCCGTGGAGACCGATCTGGCTCTCACCTTTTCACTGCAGGTAGAACAACAAAATCACCATGCTGATGTTTGGTATATTTGAATGTATTTCCTCATTCAGGTGAGCGCTTACAGAGTTAAGTATGTGTGGCTTGAGTTTTATGATCATTGTTGCCGTGGAAATCCCTCAAACTTGCACATCCGTAAGATGTGGTGCTCTCTTTTGTATTTTGCAGATGCATCTAGTTTTGTGTGTGCACATAGGACTCAGTGTTAAAAGATAAGGGGTAATACTCTAGATATTGCTTCCTGTCAACAAATCCACTAAAAAGATCAAAACAAACAAGCTGTCAGTCACTGTGCCAACGGCTCACGACTCCTCCGGCATTCGCCGTTTCCACTGAAGACGAGTGACAAATTAATACTAATAGAATAGAAGCATGTCATTTTCTCGAATGGCAGGGGACAGCGGTTCTCTCTGACCTCCCCTCAGTTCTCTTCTGGTTTCAAGTGGTTGTGGCTTTGTTTTACAAAGGTGACGTCACAGCTGCATTTAGGTTGTGTGCTTGTTTTCACTCAGTCAAACACAACGCACCAACAATCCCTCTTTTATTGCTCTTTAGTCTTAAATATTTTATGTACTCAAGAAATTCTTGTATTAAAAACCGAGGTTTCAGGGGCCGTAAGCAGCAGGAGTAAATTTAATACTCTGCTTAATATTTACTGCAGCAGTTTGTAAACGTGGGATCAACCCCAAAATATCCTGCAGCATCTTAATGAAGAAACGTGTAGCAGCTAACCTAAGAGCATTTGGGCAAAATGGAGCAATAAGGGGAAGAAGAATAAAGGTGTGTGTGTGTGTGTGTGTGTGTGTGTGTGTGTGTGTGTGTGAGAGAGAGAGTGTGCACGTGTGTGTGTGTGTGTGTGTGTGTGTGTGTGTGTGTGTGTGTGTGTGTGTGTGTGTGTGTGTGCGCCTACGAGGGGAATTCAGTTGATGGGTTTTAGTCTTTTTATGGAATTTATTCACCTAATTTAAACTACCAGTTCAGTGATTTTCTCTGCCGGTTTCCTCTCCTTCAGTACCCTCACTTCTTAAAACGAGAAGGAAACAAGCTGCAGATCATGCTGCAAAGGCGGAAGAGATACAAGAACCGAACCATCCTGGGCTACAAGACTCTGGCAGTGGGATCTATCGACATGGCCGAGGTACAGTGCGGGCCGCGCTGCAGCAAACCGCCACCCATTATGGGGCTTGGAGACGGCGGGCAATGTGGTTTGTGTGGTCGGTGGAGGATAACGTGGTCTCTTCAGGCACACTTTGTGCCTTGAGGGGTCTCAGGAGAGGAGGAGGCACAGAGGTGCATCAGCTCCAACAGGCTGTCAGTCAACGTAATGAGAAAACGGTAGATGTTGAAGCTGTATGTTGACCTTAGGAGACATCTTCACCGGGGGGGATTGGCCGGGCCTCGTGTCCTCTTAACTCCTGCCTGTTTGAAAAGCTGCCTCGAGAAATTCCATTAGCACTTTAATTAATCTGGATGAATTGTACCTCTATCTGAGAAAGGCTTCAGATAATTTCACTCTCTCAGCGCAAACCTGCTTCTTTTCAAACTCTCCTTAAAGAAGTGAAGGAAACTCAGTGGTTCAGATACTTCCTTTCCTTCCCTGTGTTTTGATAACCAAGAATACATGAATACAAGTCTTCCTTCAGATGAATGTGAAAGGTTCAGTTCACACGCTGCTGATGCGCTCAGTGGAGATTATCAAGGTCACATTTCAGCGGCCGAGGCACAAAAAAGAAAACTACTTGGCGCCTGTGAGGAAAAAACAAACACACGCAAGAGCTGGAGCTGCTTTAGCACAAGAAAGAAATGGTTCTCATCTTTTTAAACTCAAGGTTACAAAGAGGCTTTAACACAACAAACAATGTACAAAGCAAACAGCAAAAGGCCGACTTGGTCTGACGCGAGCAGAGAGACTCTGCTGAAGTGACCTGCAGCGTAGAGGATGACCTTTGTTCCAGAGAAGTAAAAAATCCCCCTAGACACCATTGAGCTGGAATAATAAAGACACCTGGAGGGAGAAAAACAGTTATAGATCATTTTACAAGATTGTCGACGTTTAAATTTGATTGTTCAACATGAGTGAAACCGGTTTTTGACTGTTTTCTTTGCCTCAGTAACTTGAATCACATTAAAGTTTTGTTCCATATCAAACTGATTTTGTTGAATTCAAAATTGAATGTCCGGGCCTGCGGCCCATGATGGTTAGGAGAGACATCTCATGCACGGCCCACGATCATAAAACATGCAACGTCAGCAGTGTCAACGTCTCCTTTGCATTTTGGGTGTTAAGTAGTAAGAATTCCTCTGTCTCCCACCAGGTGATGCAGCACCCGACCGAGGGAGGCCAGGTTCTGCCTCTCTGCAGCAACCAGAAGGAGCTGCTGGGGAAGGTGGCCGAGATCTGGATCGTTTCTCTGTCCAGTCAGCCAATAGACCACGAGGAGGCCGCCCTGCAGGGGGGACAGAAGATCAAATGCTCCGGTACACTATTTTTTAAAGCTCTGGTGGCCTGCAGTGTGCCGTACGCCATGTTCATGCACAGCCTGGCTGCGTGTGCAGTTTCACGAGGTCATTGAAGTGTGAGGCGTCTCCTCGACGGCCGTCTGTTAAACTTCCCGCTTGTCCTCGTCTTCAGATAACTACTCGGAGGAGGAGTACGAGAGCTTCTCCTCCGAGCAGGAGGCCAGCGACGACGCCGTGCAGGTTCAGGTGAGTCCGCCTCAACGTCATTGAAGGTCGTGGCGCAAAGACATTGAAGTCTCCATCTTGGTCAAGTCGGCTGATAATAATCTGTTCTGCATTCTGTAAATAATGCATTGTTTTCTTTTGTAAAGGCGGCTGGTTTTGAACTTAATGTGCGTTTTATCTGTCAGGATCTGGAGGATGACGAGTACGATGTGAGGAAGCCAAAGAAGCAGAGGAGGTCGATTGTGAGGACCCCCTCCATCACCAGAGTAAGGGACACGGCCCGGCTGTAAGATAAACAAACAATGCATGGAAGTGTTTAGTTTGAGCGTCCCTTGGGGACCCCTAGTTCCATGATGGTAAAACACGGGTTTGGGCTATTTCCTGGCAGGGGAAGTGACTACTCAGTGGAAGAGGTGTGGACTTGAGTTGGACACGAGCAAGACGTGATCCCCTCATTTTATGAATTCAGATTTGACTTGACCGTTAAATAAACTTTCTTACATTGATTCATTTGCAAGATCGAACACGCTTTAATGGCACCCTTCAAATAGGTCTTTGCAGAGTCCTTTATAGAGCTCAGCAAACCGGAGCAGGAGATAAAAGCCCCAGAAAGTAGACGTGTGCATGATGTTGCTTGATTATTGATTTACAGGAGGGATCGATAGCCAGCACAAACTGCGAGTGCATCTACTGCCGGTAAAATGGAGGATGCCAGCGGCTCTTTTCCCTCCATCGAGTGCTGAGCGTAAATCCTACCTGCTTCGCAGACTGACGGGCGGCCGTGTGTTTGCTCTCCTGTGTTTTAGCAGCAGAACTTTAAGCAGCGCGTGGTGGCTCTCCTCAAGCGCTTCAGAGTCTCAGATGAGGTGAGTGTTTCTCGTGTTGCCCGCGCTGTGGAGCTGCTGAGCTGCCAAACATGCCAATGTCTGTCTGTGTGTGTCTGTCTGTGTGTGTGTGTGTGTGCGTGTGAAGGTGCTGGACTCGGAGCAGGACCCCGCAGAGCCGCCCCCCGAGGTGGAGGAGGAGGACCTGGACCTGGACAGCGTCGAGTTTGAGAACCCGAGTGACAGCGGCCCGGAGCTGGACGACGACGACAGCGTCCTCAGCACCCCAAAACCCAAACTCAAGTGAGTGGTTCCCCGCGTTGAGCAGCTCGGGACGGATCGGGCCAATGGGTTCTGTGCCAATGACATTTTGATGTCAATATCTTAAAGCGACTTTAAATGCATTTCCAGTGTTTCTTTTAGATTGTAATACTTTGTAAAAGCGAAACTTTCTACCTCTTGGTTTAATCTATAAAGAGAAGATTGACTTTGAGTCCCCAGTGTGAGTAGAGCTCCATTATAAGCCGGATCTTTTAACTTTATTCAATTCCTTCTTATTTCATTAACCTTTTGGTCTTTCTGCCGAGAAAAGCTGCTTGAACGTTCCCTTCAGCCCAGATCCTTTCTTGTGTTTCAGGCCGTACTTCGAGGGTCTCTCCCTCTCCAGCTCTCAGACGGAGATCGGCAGCATCCACAGCAGCCGGAGCCACCGGGAGCCTCCGAGCCCGGTGAGCGACGGCACAGCCATCCTGCATGAGCTCAGCAGGGATTTCCTCCTTCATTTAGAACATGCAACTGGTTCATTTCACAGGATATCCCACTTCACTGAGTGAAGTCAGATTTTCATCACTCTGCAGGTTTAGACCAGTTCCAAAGGGAGTTTGCTTATGAGACTCTAGGGCTTCCGTTGAACTAATGATTCATCACAAGACGTCCAATGTGAAATCAAAGTTGCTGGGGCTCCATCAAAACCAGCTCGCGCTTATTATCCTCCTCACCTACTCATTCCAGATGGATCCGGATAAAACCAAGTGTGCTGGCGGCAAGTTTCCAGGCGACGGCGTGTCTGGTAACGTGTCCTTTGTGAGTATCAACTCTGCTCAGAAGGCCGTTTTGAGTGAATCGGGTTGCTAAGCAACAGATTGGCCTCATGTTTACTGCATGTCAGCTTCTGTCACTCACTCACACACTTATCCTGTGTGTCGGCGTTATACAACCTCACGATATCTTGGTTGTTCTTTTAATTGTGAAAAGTAACATCATATCACACGCATGTATCTCCTTCTCACTCTATTTAACAATGGATGCCTCATGCGCCGTGCTGCTGGTTTTCCCTCTTTGTGTTTTCTCAGGAGCAGCCCGAGCCGGTGACTCCGACCACAGAGCTGGAGATGGACAACATGGACACGTTTCTAGAGCGACTACCGCCGAGTGGCAAAATGACCAAGACGGAGTCACTAATCCTTTCATCCAACAGGTAGAAATGCACAAACACCAGCAATCAATCGCTCTTTTAAACCAATGATGTACAACTCCAGGTGTTCTTGGGCAGCCATAAAGAAGAGCAGGATTACTGGGTCACTAGTGTCTATTCAAAGACAAAATCACTCCTCTTTTTCATTCATTGATGAGTAGATGTGTGTTTTTGCGTGTAATCATCTCATGATCAGATCAGGGTTTATGCTTTGAGTCGTTCACCGTTGCGTCCATCGCCCCTGCTCCTCGCGCTACAGTCTTCTGCCGTTCTCCGTCTCCAGGCAGGAACCAAAGTTGGCGGGGAGGAGAGGCAGGAGCACGTCGCTGAAGGAGCGCCAGCCCAGCAGGCCGCAGAACGAGCGGGCCAACAGCCTGGACAACGAGCGCTCCCTGGACACGCGCTGCCACCTGCAGGTAGGAGGAGAGCGCTGCAGGCGAGTCCGCGGGACGTCCTTCAGATTCCTCTCTCGGAAGCAACTCGGCCGCTTTTAAGTTTTTTGTTCACTTCTCCCTCACAATCTTCTCAAACGTGTTTTATGGGTCCTGATTTCAACCCTGCGTAGATTCCAAGAAAGACAGTGTACGACCAACTCAACCACATCCTGGTGTCCGACAACCACCTCCCCGACAGCATCATCCTCGTCAACACGTCGGACTGGCAGGGCCAGGTGAGGAACACCTGCACGAGGCGCTTTGGAAGGCTGCTTTTATCTTGACAAACATATGAACAACATCTAAACTGAAATAAATATATTCCTAAGCAACATCCCATAAAAATGGAAAAACTCATCTTTAAAAGCCCACGTGTGATTCTTCCTCTCCTCCCGTCTCAGTACCTCTCGGATATGCTGCAGAACCACCACCTCCCCGTGGTGTGCACCTGCACCACGGCCGACATCCAAGCTGCGTTCAACACTATCGTCTCCCGCATACAGAGATTGTGAGTCAACCTCTCACACGTCCGCTTGTCTTTCGCCATCATGCGTTCACGCGCATCTTCTCAGCGAAAGCTGTTGAACAAATGATTGTGAAACAGTACGCCGTCTGTTTCTTTTCTCTCCTAGTTGCAACTGTAACTCCCAGACGCCAATTCCCATAAAGATCGCGGTGGCCGGCGCGCAGCACTACCTCAGTGCTGTTCTGAGGCTTTTTGTGGACCACCTTTCCCATAAGACCCCCGACTGGCTGGGCTACATGAGGTTCCTGATCATCCCTCTGGGTTAGTAGCAGCAGTAATGCTGCTACTTGTTGTTGTTGTTGTATCTAAATGTGCTTCATTTGTTCAAACATGAGCGCAAGGTTGTAATTGATGAGGTAATGGTGGCGACTTCTGGTTGTCTTTCTAGCTGTATTAGTGCGTCCCGAAATAATGTAACACTGTCTAACTGTTTGTCTTTGGTTTAGGTGCACATCCAGTCTCCAAATATCTCGGCACTATTGACTATCGATACAACAGTTTGTTCCAAGACGCTGCTTGGCGGGACCTGTTTCACAAGCCAGAGGCTCCGGTTATTGGTGGGCGCTCTGCTTACTCGCCTTTCTAACTAGTCCATGTTTTATTATAGGGTCTAAAAGGAGCCGTGTGTGGGATTTAGTGCCATCTAGCGGTGAGGTGGCAGATAGAGAACTAAGCCGGCTCTTATAATGTTCGTTGAGTATATTATGGTCCCATTCTGAGTTTAATGGGCCATAAATACACATTAACAGGGTGCCAAGAAACAAGATGGCCTAAAAGACTAAATAAAGACTTCAAAACCAATGGTTGGCATCTCAACGACTACAAACCTTTCTTGTATACAGTGTTTGGTAAAAAATGCTAAAGGGAGGGGCAACAAGGTGAAGCACACTGGCTCCTTATGTTAGAGATGAACGCCTCACTAACACAACAGTGGTTAGTTTCAGGGGATTAAACGGAAGAAAACGATTTCTGCCCAAATCCTGCACACGATTCCTCTAAGACATCACCAACAATTGTGTATTTTGAATAAGGTATTTGAACATTGGGAGATGTGTTGATGTTGACACTCAGCGCTAGATGATTAATTGGTCCTGTGCAGCCCAGCAGAACCCAGACGTGGTGTCCAGGGTGACTCAGTACATGGTGGGAGCCAACGGAGCCCACCAGCTTCCCATCGCGGAGGCCATGCTCACCTACAAACAGAAGAGGTGTGTTTTCATCCCTCGCTTGCTCACGTTTTACACCGAGCCGTAGTTTTTCTGAGCTACAGGGAAAGACTTGTCCCACGGGAAATGCTCCTAACGCAGAGCTTTCAGCAGTTTTTCAAAAGGGGGAATGAGTTTAGCTGTTGCAAACCTGATATGTTAACTGGCTTTACAAAATACATTTTATACTTTTTTTTCTTTAGAATTTTATAAAATGCATGCATAAGTCAAGAAAATCTCTCCATGTTGGCTTGATCAGCAGGATCTGAATTGTGTTGCGTTTGGACCGGATGTGACCGGCCTGTGCTTGTCGCCAGTGGCAACAGAATATACAACTGAAACAACGCAATATTCTGTTTGTTCAAACCCCTTTTGAGAAAGTTAAATTAGTGTTGTAAAGTTTATGTGTGAGTGGCGGTGTGTGTCTTTTAAAAACATTGCTGTCTCTCCATCACTGTCTCTGTGTCTGTGTCTGTGTGAATAACTTGTTTTTTGAAAATATTTTTGTTGTACTTTTTCTTTTCTTTCTTTGAAGGAAAAAGAGCTTTCATTTTGATTTTGCAGTAAGGTATTGTGGTCGCTTGAGTTTCTCTTGTAGCCTGGTGATTAGTGTGCTCTCGGTTTGTTTTTCCCTTCTTCTCTTGGAACTTGCCACTTTAACAGCTCTCTCCAGGGCACAGCGCACCGTTGTAAATAACATACGCACACAGTTTGAGATTTTTACAACCAACTAAAACTGCATAGGGTCAAGTTTTTACTTTTAAACAACTCTGTCCCTTTAGTCCAGGCGGAATTGTGTAAGGCTCATCGATATATTGTGTTAAATGAATGAAGAAAACATACGTTAGTCAGTGGGATATTGTTTAAATACATGAAAATAAGATAAAAGTCAATCGCCAACCTTCTAGATAATCCGCGTTGACGTCTGTAGAAATCCGGTATCAATGTAGATCGTATACATCTGGCTGACAAAACTTAACTGCTGATTTAAATATTATTTTCCAATTTTTCTGCAACGCTACAAGTAGCAGCTAAGGATGACGTGTCCGTCCAAAGGTATCAAAACGTTTCAAAAGTCCCTCGATAAATGAATTAATAGTTTTTGTGTGAAGATGACGCAGTTTGGAGCCGAGCTAGGTGTTTCCCTTTGCTCACAGTCTTTATGCTAAGCTAAGCTAATCAGCTGCAGCTTTGCATTCTCCATACAGGTAGTTAGAGGGATGAAGATATTGTATTTTCACCCCTGAAACTATCAAACTAACCCACAGTGAAGAGAGCAAATAAGCGGTTTGACAAGAAGTTGAATGAACGGTTCCTCTTACTGCGTCGGGCAGACGTTTCTGAGCACATTTAATAAACAACGAGTTTCTAGAATGAATCCATTGCTTGTGCGCTGTTTTTGTTATTCTTGTCCTTAATGGACAACAAAGAAAGACGGTCGTGACGGCGTATTGATGAGGCTGCGAGGACACTGAATAATAAAATATGCTGATAAAGTGGCAAGAGACCAAATCCATCAGCTCTGTTCCCTTTGCTTCCTTCCTGCTGCTGCTTCTCCACAGTGTCGTTGTGCTTTTGGCCATCTGTGTCTGTCTGCTATTGTTCAGTTAGAAGTAGAAAAGCTGCACAGCATCTGTGAAAGGACAACGTCAAATAGTGAGTAGCACTTTTATTCGTGCTAGAATCAGGATAAACGGTTAAGGAAGGTCAACTCTGCCATCGAATGACCAACTGTACGCTTCTGATAATCTTTAAATATATTCAATAACAATATTTTATGCTTGACGTCTTCTAGCAGGTGGCATCAACTGTTGTTTTAAATCAATTATTAAGCTAAACACTTCTCGTGCCCACTAATATTTTCTAAACCATCTTTCTAAACTGAATTCCATACATATAAATCTCCATGACAGTCATTTGACAGGAAATTGAAGAAAAGTAAGTGTTTCTATTCTTTGACATGGGCGAGGCATATAAAAAATAGTTACTAAGAAACTTACAAACATCCACCATCTTCACAAAGTTATTAAAGAGTCAAAGATAATGATAACATCGACACACCGCCGCTATGATGTAAACATCGAAATTATACTAATACCATTTATTCTGTTCTTTACCTGGAACCCGCACATGTCGGGTCGACGCCCATCTTTTAGAGACATTAAGATAACATGTGGCTTAACCACGTCGGACAGAAGTCCTATATGTGTTCCGTCTTAATCCATCCCTCCAAGGCCCCATGGACATTTAACACTCGCACCCCAGGCAACATCTGTCTCTCTCTCTCTGGCTGCGCCCGACAACCGATTACAGCCCAGATGTGTTGTTGTGTTCGGGAACTGTGACCCGCTGCAGACCGCCTCCTCTCTTTCTCCCTCTGTAGTCTGTCCGTTTCCTCCCTGGGGGGGCGATGGCAGGTTTCTTCAAGGCAAGAGCAACAACCTTTCACATCATGTAGCGCCTTTGCATTTAGACTACAAACCATAGAACCATTCTTCAAGCTATTTTTCTGGTCTTTGCCAGGAAAATAGTTCATGGAAGGCTTGTAAGTGCAGCTGTGCACTGCCGCTCTCAGGTAGCGCGTGGAGCCGGAGAGGTTGTGCCTTTTAGGTTGATGCTCTTCCTTCTCGTCCACTTCTTTTTAGTTTAGTTGCCCCCCCCCCTCCCTAATAGACTTGCCCCTCCCCTTGAATGCCCTTCTAGTTTTGTTGGATCCAACGTGCGTTTGCAACAGCTGGATGGCTTAGTCGGAGGCCCCGAATCGGCCACTTGCTTGCATGTTTTGCTCTTTGCTTCAACGAGGGCGCCGCGTCTCTTCTAGTGGATGGTTAGCGCTCCGCAGCGAGTTCAGCATGCTACGTTGATTCTCTTTGTGATGGCTTTGCCAACTTTCAATGCCATGGAAACCTACACAGTTTCCATATGTGAAATCTGCATCACACTAATTGCTAGATCTCAATTTTGCTCACTGTAGATTTCTTTGAATAATCTTTTAATGATCAAGCGTTTGAATGCTTGCAGGAGTCCGTCCTCTTTGATTGCTTGTAAATCATTTTAATTTCGTTGCCTTCACAACACATTGACTCTTTTCTTGTATCCTTCTCACGCGATCTCTCCACAGTCCGGATGAGGACTCCTGTCAGAAATTCATCCCCTTCATTGGTGTAAGTAGCCACTTTATTTGTCTAAATAGTAACTGTGTGTTGATTTTGTCTGTTCAGTGTTCACTCTCTTTCAACAGTTGAACAAAAAACTCAAGTAATCATGTTTAATCTTTTGGATTCTGCAGATGGTGAAAGTTGGCCTTGTGGAGCAAACATCTGCAACATCAGGCAAGCCAGAAGTTTTTGACATTTGAAAAAAAAAAAAAAAAAAGTGTCCAACTTGTGCAACCGCAGTGTTTTCTTTTAAGGGTAAATGATGGAGTGTTCCCTCCCACAGGAGACTCTGACGATGCAGCCCCTCTGGCCTCCTCGCTGCTCTCCTCCACCCCTCCACAGGTGTCACCGGCCCTCAAAGAGGCGTCGCCCACGCCGCCCTCCTCTCCCTCCGTCACCACCAGCCTCTGTGCTTACAGGTATGCCGTGAAGAGAGTTTTGTGTGTTCGTTCTTTTTATACATGTTTAAGCACGTCTAGTCAATTAAAAGTAAAGTGTGCCATGTTTTTTTTTTTATTTGAGCATTAATAAAGAAATGGTTCAAATGTACTTTTTAAAGAGCTAAAAATACATACATGTCCCACAATGCTCACCTCCCTGCCTGCCTGTCTGTCTGTCTGTCTGTCTGTCTGTCGCCGTATTTCTGTAGGTCAGGGGGAGCTGATGGGGCTTCAGGTGGACTACTGGGCGGCTCCAACAGAGAGGAAGAAGGACATGGAGAAGCGGGACTCCTCCTCCAAAAACACTCTGAAGTGCAATTTCCGCTCACTGCAGGTCAGCCGGCTGCCGCTGGGGGGCACAGAGCCGAGCCCCCAGCCCACCATGTCCATGACTGTGGTGACTAAGGAGAAGAATAAGAAGGGTAAGTAAGAGGCTCACCTCTGTTGGACGGATGCATGCATGTTCCTGCGGACGTTAGGTTACATTTGAAAGCGTTTAAAGTGTGTACGATGTATCTCACGACCAATCTGATGCATACATGATCAAACGTCCCCTCCTGCCAGTCATGTTCCTGCCCAAAAAGAGCAAAGACAAGGAGGTGGAGTCGAAGAGTCAAGTGATCGAGGGCATCAGCCGGCTCATCTGCACTGCCAAGCACCAGCAGACCATGCTGAGAGGTAAACGGCCCTGCTGCCCTGTCCTGACCCGTCCTGCTCCTCTCCTCCGCACGCACATCCTCATACTGAGCGCACTTGTTTTTTTCTGTTCAGTTCAGGCTGCAGCTTTTCCTGATAATCGCTCAAAGTTGATCCTCACACAGTAAAACTGAAGAAGGCGGACTGTAAAATGACAGCGTATGGCTGTTAAAGAAATTTGCCTTGTGGAGAGCGCTGTAATTCAGTAATTTAAAATAAAATGTGACATCTTGCTCCAATGCTAAAATACAAACCTGACCAATATATTATTATGGGTTTTTTTGTTTTTTTTTATAGGAAATCCGTTTTTTTTTTAGTACTTTATTCATTCATCATAATTTCCAATATTACTTAAATTTAATATAATACGTAATATTTTTTTTCTATTGTAGCTATCCTTTTTTAAATTAAATTCATCTTGTAATTATATTCTAGATGCTGGTTTTTAGTTTTTACTTATTAATTACTTAATATTTTATAATAATGCAATTTTTTGCTTTATTTCTTATTAAAAACAGACTGGAGGGGTCGGAACAGAATGTAAATATTTATATTCAGTACACACACAGTTAACAAATAAATTACAGTTTGCAAATAGGATACCTGCATGACATGGTATAAGTGTACTTATTTGTATAATTTCCCAGTAAAATTATCTTCATATTTAAAACTAAGAAACTACTTGTTTAGTTTGGCAACAGAAATAAAATCATCAACTCAAATCAAGATTTATTCTTCATTTAGGCTATGCAAGTAAGTAAGTAACTTATACCTTATATGTGCAATAATGGGTGTCCAACCACTCAACCCGATTATATTGTATTCTGGCTTTGGTTGTTTTTTAAGGTTTACTTTAAGGATTATCTTATTTTATTTTATCCAAATAACCCACTTACTTGCTCTCTCTTTATTAATCTTATTAAATACAATGTTTTCTTTGTTTGATAAATATGGATTTTTGGTTTTCTGAGACTAATCAGCTAATTATAAAGCAAAAAGCAAAATCAACCGATCAATTATCAAGCCGCTTACTCGACGAAACCTTAAGGATGTATTCAGTTGGGTTGTGTTGACTGTTACACATGAACTGCTGCCACGAAAGCTCATCTTTCCGTTCGTCTTGCGTCTCTTCCTCTGCAGTACTGATTGACGGGCGTCGAATGGAACGACGTCAAGTTCTTCCAGCTGGCGGCTCAGTGGTCCTCGCATGTCAAACACTTCCCCATCGGGATCTTTGGGCACACAACGAGCCCCTACTAGCAGCCACCACTACACCGAGGACAGTGCCCCCCCCCCCCCCGTGCCAACTGCTTTTAACCTCTCCTCCCCCCGCACACTTCTTCTATTCTGCTATTTCAATTTAAGCTCCTGCTTTCATCTGTTGCATTTGTCCGATTATTTAATATTTTGCGTGTTCTTTTTTAAAATTTCTATTTATGGAAAATTTTCTTGAGGCAAAGCTTCCAAGAAAAAATATGCTGATGTTTTATAAACATTTGAGAAAAACAGAACAAATTAAATAATGATTAGACATTACATCTAATATTTAACATGCTTGTGTGAGTCCCCATGTGTCTTTATCTCCCCGTAATATATATATTTTATATATATATATATATATGACATCATGATGTCAATACATCATGATGTCATGTCAAAGATGATGAAGACATTTTACATTTTTTAATTGTGAAACTGTTGTAGATTCATTGTCTCAATCCCGAAGAAACTAAGTTCTCAACTACGTGCAATAGACTGAAAGCCGCGTGAATGTGATTCTTAATAAGTGATTCTTAATGATCACCTGGCACTGATGAGGATTACACACAGCTCTCAGCTGGGATTTTAAACCCCGTTTCTTTATTTTCTCCTCCTTGTTTGAGGTTTGAACTGTTTTGCTCCAAAGGGACGTATGGGAAATTAGAATCAAGAAATTCTTCGTAGCACGAAATGAACCTTTCAGATGGTAGTCTGGGCAGAATGGAATAAATTAACATGTTGGTCGTATCACTTTCTTTCTGAGAGTTAGATGAGATGATGAATAAATATGTGACAAAGCCAGCGGTCAGTTAGCTTAGCTTAGCATAAAGGCTGAAAACAGGGGGAAACTGTTTGCCAGGCTCTGTCCAAAGATAGTAAAAATAATAAAAACCTACCAGCACTCATTAATGAACATGGATGATCTTGTTTGGGTGTAAAATGACAAGTTGGGGATTCGTGGTGGGATTTAGAAAGATCCCACCACGTGCAGTCATGCAACCCTCCCACCAACTTGTCATCTTATTCACTCCAGTAACAGAAAAATTACACAAATATAGTAATACTATCTTTTTTTGTATTTTCTGCAGACGTATTATCCAGGATAATAATCTTGTTATTGTGGATTATTTTGGCCGTGATAATCATGTGGTGCCGTGGGCCTCCTCCCCTCTTCCCAGCCTTCATACTCCGCTAAGCGGCTGACAAGCCAGCGATCCACCCACCAGCATCTGTAAAGCTCGCTTACTAACTAGTTTGGGTTTTACACCGAGCCAGCCGAGCTGCTGCTCCAGGTTTCCAGTCGTTGTGCTAAGCTAAGCTAATCAGCCGGTAGCTGCAGGTTCATGTAGCTACCAGAGATCCTCCCATCTAACTCTATAAGAACGTGTATGTATATTTTACTCCACATGTCTCGCTGTTCCTTGAGGCTGCAAATTAACATTTCGTCCCCACTGTGTTTATTTTATAAAGACCTCTTTGTCCTCTAGCCTCACACTCCTTGGACACACTCCATATCTGTTGCTAAAAAGCATATGTTACCTTTGCCAAAGGAATACCTGTCAACTGCAGCTCACTCGTTACCTGTGTGGTGTTATAGAAGACTTCATGATGTAGAGGTGAATGTATTAAAGGTACCTTTAATGTAAAGCACTTTTAAATGTTTGTCCGTGGGCGTTAAACACACCTGCAGGTACGGCTGACTGCGGTTCACAGACGCACATGGACGGACTGTGCGTCTGCCGTCACATCGGAGCTAAACAACAGCACAAACAGCGGTGACGTGGAATCGTTTATATGCAAAGCCAACCGAGCGCCTGTCTCCTCTCGGGGCTGTGGAACATCTCTTTATGCCCAGCGCGACGCCTCCTTGGATTTACATCTTCGTTTAATATTCAGTAACGTTATGTGTATGTGAAACGTTGTTGTCAGTAGATTTTACTCAATTATTTGTTAAATTTTAAGCATAAAAGTGTTTTTAAAAGCAGTTTCATCATAACCGTTTTCTTAATAAGTGCCTAAATTGCTTAATTTTGACAAATCAACATAAATAATTTGTTCTCTGCTTACACGGTGCTGATTCTGGTTGGACAACTAAATGCAGTGGATTGATTTTGCTGTATAAAGTTAAGGAAAACCACAATTGGCGCTCAAACATGGGTTTGAATCAATTACAAGAAGACTACAGCCCATTCGTGTTGAGCAGACATTTGTTTAAACTGTTTTAGATAGATATTGTTTAGTTACTGTTTTTCATGTTGTTTCAGAGAAAGGCTTGCTCAACCCGAAGGTCCCCTAAAGACCACCACTGTAATCCCAAAACTTGGAGTAATAAAACTACTATACACACTAAAATGTACTGTTTTTTTTTCTAAAAACTAGATCCCCAAGACATTAATAAATGAAATCATCATCATAGTTTTTGAAACACACATATACATGAACCAACCTTGCTTATACAAGTAAAGCTAAAATGGTAATTTTCATGCAACACATTTTTGAAGATTTACCCATTTTAAAATATTTTTATATTTTCTGTACTAGCTGGACAGTTAAGGGGTAGTTGTGACGACATTTGTCAATATGTTGAGAGGTTTCTTGCAAACCAAACCAAATAATCAGAATCCATAATGGGAATTCTAATTAGTTACTGCCCTATACCAACTAGTTTTAGAAAAGATACAAAAACGAAAATGATTACAAAGGATAGTCGAATTATATTATGCATGTAATTTCCCTGCTATTGACAAACTAATAAATGCAGTTATTTTACTTATAATCGTCGTAGAATTTTCTGTTGTGCGTTAAGAATCTAAATACTGCTTATATACCACACCATAGATTTACCTCTCGCCAAAAATGTGAACGGTGGGGAATTTAGGTGGAGGTGAAACATACAAAGGGAGCGAATCTGGAGAGAGAGAGCGAGCGAGCGAGCGAGCGCGCGCAGCAGGAAGCTGCTCCTGGGACCGCCGAGCCGAGAAGAAGACAGAGAGGAGGCGCATAAACAACGTCGACATCTGCGGGGTTTCCAGCATAATGTGACCCCGCCGGAGCATCAGCAGCAACGCGATGTCGAAGGCGCGGCGGTGAAGAGCCGAGAGCCGAGCCGCGTTCCCCCCGCCTCGCCCGTTGTCCGGTGACCATGAAGGAGCCGCTGGGCTGCGGTATGCGCTGCTCGCTGGGCTTTCTGTCCCGCAGGGAGCTGACCGGGCAGCCGCTCCTGAAGGAGGAGTTCCAGAGGCGCAGGATGGCCGGCTGCACCAGCCTCTACAAGAAGGACATGCTCGGTCACTTCGGCTGCGTCAACGCCATTGAGTTCTCCAACAACGGCGGAGAATGGCTCGTGTCCGGTAAGTTGACAACACCCCCCCCCCCCTCTCTCTCTCTCTAGCTGTGACTGTTGTAATGTGTTAGCATGCTAACGCTAGCTTAGCCCCGGCAGTCCGCTGAAAGCCCCCTGTGGGCTACCAGTTAGCTAAGCTAGCCTAGCCTTCTTTTGCTAGCTGGCTAACGTCAAACGAGACGAACAGCCCTGCAGCTCGGAGGGGACCCGTATCTGTCCCTTATGTCAGTCCTCGTCATTGTGGCCCCCAAAGTGGACGTGACCCCCCTCCCCTTTCATGGGTCTCATCATGGCTGCCAGTTTGGTACCTCAGAGCTATTTAGCGTGATGTCCCGGGAGGATTAAAGACCATCATCTGGCCTTGTGTAACAACCTGAGGCCGTTTTTGGCCGACTTTGCACAACTGAGCCGAAGACAACTTTATAAATGTCATTTGATGCGCTTGACTCCGCTTGAGCAGATTAGTGGGAAGGTTTAGCTGTGGCGCATCAGCTCTGACAACACATGACAGAAAGATAAATGCTGTTCGTGTATAATTATTAACTCTGAAAGCGACCTCCTGATCAAGATTTGCACAATGTGCCTCCTACAAGTTTGCCTTTGTGTGTTGAATGCAAAATGCCTTCCTTGCAGATTGTAGTCTGGGCTTCATGTAACTGAATAAAGCAATTGTCGATTCATTTATTATCGTTTATTCAATGAAATGTGCTGTTTCTTATAGCCAATTCGACCCAGACTGGATCCAACATATTTGGTTTTATGAATTTGTCACTTCACTTGCAGAGTAACAAAATGAGTCATTATTTCCCTAAATATTTCCATTTTGTTGTGAAAATGGATCTGGATCTGTCAAACGGATCTGAGAAGTGAACTTCAGTCCCGTTGAACTGCCAGGCGACTCGACTGCGTCACAAGTAAGTCGATGGGAAGCAGCTGCTGTAATGTGTCCTTTTGTTCTGTCCCGTCTCCAGGAGGAGACGACCGGCGGGTTCTCCTGTGGAACATGGAACAAGCCATCCACGCTCGATCCAAGCCTTTGAAACTCAAGGGCGAGCACCTGTCCAACATCTTCTGTCTGGCCTTTGACAGCACCAACAAAAAGGTCTTCTCCGGTGGTAAGAGCAACAGAAATGCACTCTCACAACATCTTCGCCCTTTGACCTGTGCAGGGGGTTTTGTGCCTTCTCGCTGGTAGGTAAAAAGAGGATCTAATAGTAACTGAGGAAACGATGCGCTTGGGCGAAGTCACTTAGGGTTGCAAAGGAATGAATATATAAATTTGGGACCAGAAACCTTATGATTTATTTCATCAAAAAGAAAAAGATTCTGTCCGTCAAACATGTTAAAATGCTAATTGGATGTGCACTTGAGCACTTTCAGAAATGTTGTTTGTAGCTGCTTTATTGCACAGTAATGTTGTTCATTGGGAAAATATCCATTTTCTAACCTGCGTGATCTGCTGTGTTGGAGTCACGTGGTGAATGCTGCTCACTCTGTATCGGCCCTGCAAATAATAAATGTATATTATGATGTATTTGATAGAAAATAAAGCAACAGCAACTGTTTTTCATCTCAACAGAGCAACTTTATTTATTTTATTACACTTTCTCTTCTTGTCGTTTTGCAGGAAACGACGAGCAGGTGATTCTTCACGACG